GGAAAGAGCGAGCTGGAGGTGACTAATAGTGGTGGTGTACGCAATGCAGGTTGGTGCGCAAGCAAAAGTAATGACAATAATTACTTTTTGCTTCTGTAGTCTACTTTTTTGTGGTCTATGTCTCTTCTCAGGGTATGAACATGACTTCTTCTCCCAAACGCTCACTACAACTATCGGCATTGAGGCCGGAATTAGCTCCATTCTGGACTGTGGTTAGTTGCCAGTATTATGCTGTAAAATTTTAACTAGAAAGGCTTCACCAGCGTTGGGCACAATCGTTTGCTGTATTAAATATTCTCTCAGCTCTCTCTGATGACAAAGGGAGCCCAATGTGCAGATGTAGCAACAGACTGGTGCTTCTGCACGCACACGTGTGCGTACTGCAGCTGATGAGAGCCTTGCCTGAATAGAGATCGTTTGGCTCAAACGATCCTTGTGGGACAATTTTTATACAAATTCTAAGATCTTTTTGGGGCGATTCATCACAAAAGCATTCCTTACCGTGAGGAATTTCATCTCCTTGCACTTCTCTAAAGGACTGAGACCAGCTGTATGCATTTCCTCTGCATTTCCTCCACATTTCTCCGTGAAGTTTTTAATCTTTAAGATCATTTAAGAGTCTTCTCACACTGAGACTCTGCCTTTAAGGGCCGGTTAATATGGCTGATTTATAAACCCTTTTGACAAGGGGATGCAGTGCAGTGAAAAGACAAAGCCTTCAAAACATGCCATAGGTCCTTTCTGCCAGCAGGCACTGATGCTGTGTATGGCTCAAGACAGCCAAGGCAAAATGTGCCTTCGGAAGCCTGAACTCAAGCATGAGAATAAGTTGAAATAATTACATAGATTATTATTGTTATTGTTATTAGTCCAGCTTTGGACTCTAGCTTTTCCAGCTCCCCTGCTGTAAGATGGTGCAGAGTCGCGGCTCCAGCCTGGGGCCCAAAGCCAGGGACAGGCTGTTGCCCTGATGCTGGCGCTGAGCGTGGTTGCTCTGGTGTCGCTGGCTCTGGGGATCCTGCTCCATGCCCTCAGCATCACCTGAGCTAGAGAAGGGGATACACAGGCTTACTTGCACATCTTCCCTCTCCCACTTGTACCTGGGCTGCTAAAATTATAAAGGCCTTTGCTGTAGACCCTCATCCTTTGCATAACAAGAATATGTCTAAGTTTGGGTGGGGGCATTCTGGTTTTTCAGCCCTCCATCCTTGGAGGAGAAAGCTAAAGGTCAACCATTTACAAAGAATGAAGGCTCAGATTCTTCTGTCACTTACACAGGGACAAACCCACAGATCTCTGAAGCATGGGAATTGCTAGAGCCCACAAAGCAGTTGTTACTGTAGTCGGTGGGTGCGTGCTGAGGTATCCCAGCAGAGCTGAGTGCCCTGTAAATGCCGTGCCTTGCTTGTACTAACCTTTGTTTGGTCTGTCTCTCTCATCTGGCAACTCCCTTCCTCCCCGGTCCCTTTGCGCTCCAATACAGATGGCTATAAGGAACGACTCGTTGGATAGCAAGGAGAACCTCCACACCGAGGTGAGTGAACTCTCTGACCCAAATGTCCCCGCTGTGCCCAAGGAGGAGTCACCAGTGGCTCTGATGCCCTCAGAAGCACAGGATTTGGCTGCATGGAGCCGGGCAAGTGTTCATACGCAGCAGCTTTCCCACAATCAGTATAATATTTCAAAGCAGGCACCAGCATCGTGTGCTTGTGCAGACTCGTATCAGGAGACGCCTGGAGATTCAATGGACCAAGAAGTATCTGAAATAAACAGCTCCTCGGAGCCTTTCACTTCAGAAACTTGTACAGCCTCGAGTGCCTGTTCAGATGTTCAGCCTCTCACTCCTAAGAGGAACATAGGCAATACTGGCAACGTTACACTGAAGGACCTGAAGAAATACCACAGTGTAGACACCCAGGGTCTTCTAAAAAAACCGCCGTCTTGGTTAGATGATCAAAGGAGACATTCAATAGAAATTTGTTCAATGGAAAACAGCCCTCAGCACCATTCCACATCTAGCTCTTCTGGCTTCATAAGTCAGGTGGTAAGTGAAATGGAAGGCTTGCAAGGAACACGGCAGAAGAAAAAACTGAGCCCTCCATGTATATCTATAGATCCACCCGATGGACAGAGTTTACTACCTAGAGGACCTCACAGCATCTCACCTGCCAGTGGAGACATTTGCTTGAGACGGCGTGCTCCATCTTGTGAATCCAAGGATTCGATGGATATAGGGGATTCATTGCTTCCAGACAGTATGTCAACATCTCCTGCCCCAAAGAAAGACTTGTTGACACTTCCTAGCTTTTCCTTTGATCAAACGGAAATGGACCCCTGAGTTACTTTTCTGTTGGTGCCAAATGTTTTCTTCCTTTCATGTAATAGAAAAAAAAAAAAAAAAATTAAAAAACTCTGTATTCCAAAATGGCACTGGGTAAAAAATTTCCAAAGAAAGATTAAAGAACCAGCGGGTTAAAAGAGTGGTTAACCTATATCACGCTTACTTAAGCGTATGTTCTGCTTAGGTAAAAGCAATACAATGTGCAGAATCTATATGTATATTATATTTTATTAAATTAATTGAATCTAGTATTGCGGGATGTAGTACATTTTGTGACTAAAGACTCGTTTAATTTTCTTCTATTTTATGTATCTCAGAATATTTCTGAGATAAAGTTGGTTTTTATGAATATTTTAACCTAAAAAATATATATTTAATCCCTTCTCTTTTTTTTGTTTTGTTTTGTTTGGGTTTCATTTTCTTTTGCAAAGCACAAAATGTAGCCAATTAGTGCATTACAGAGGAAATGTACCCCACAGTCAGCAGTAAATAAGGATTATTTAATGTAATTTATTTTTCCCCTTGGACTTCAATGATATTCTGGGAAAAAGATTGTTTGGGTAGCATAGAAATGCAGTGGCAGTTTTTTAACAAAATAATATTCCAATCTTGCCTAAAACTGACATCCAGAGTAAAAGCAGGTGCACAAACCCAGGAAGGTACAACATGCCGATAGATGGCTGAAGGTGGTGAATGCAGAGCCATTTACCTGTACACAACACTGAGTTACAAAAGGAGATTCTAGATGGTCCACTGGTGACTCCCAAAATCATGCCAATGGATAATTTTCATACGTGCCTAGGAAACGGAGGCGAGAAAAGCCTGTGGTCACTTCTGAGATGTTTTTTCCAGTGTCTCCCAGATAGACTGCTGCTTTTGCTGGGTTTTACACCTCTGTAAGCCCACGGTTTGCGGTGGAGCTCCTCCTTTTTGCACCCGTGCGACAAGGAGGGTAAGGCCGTGTTTGAGATTTGCAGTGGGTGAATTCAGCGCAGACATGACACGGCGGTGGGCTTAAGCACATGTTTAAAGTTAAGCTCGTGCTTCAACTGCCTTGAGGTTGATCGTATTTATGTAAATCTTGAAAATTAAAATAGTATGCTTATGCGTGTGACAGAATCAAGGCGAGTTACAGAATACATGTAAGAAAGTCTGTAGGTACTGCAATGGCTGTTGATTTTCAGTTTAGAAAGTTGTTTTTTTGCTATCACTGCTAGAGTTAATTTACATGACCCTGACTGTAATTTTATTTCTATCAAAAGCCTTAAGCAGCAACTTCATGATAAAAAGTAGATAAAACCAGAATTCATGTCCTCACTTTATCACATATCCTTAATTGTCAGTCATCTCAGAAATTACCTGTTTACTTCTGTGCTAACGCCCTCTGCAAAAAGCCTGTGTAAAACTGGAGAGCACAGCCTGAAAATCAAGAGAGGTTGGCCTGGTTTGACCCCCCCCCCTGCTCTTCACTGTACTTATGGAAACCAGACATTAAGTTCCCTCAGCTTCCATGAAATCACATTAAGATGTAGGCTAAGTAAGATTCTGCAGGCATGGTTTGAAGTGTGTGAACAGTCACAGGTTTAAAACCTCGTGCATGGATAAGACTTTGCTGGATTGCGTCTTTAAGCCAGAGCAAGAAAGAGGAGGATTTGTGCTAATTCTGTCAGTCGGGAGTTTTTAACTTTTCGAGAACTACTGATCTTTTCGAATCACTACAAATTGTTGATGTACAGCCTTTTATCCATTCAGAGATTAGACTGTTACGACTACCTGTATCTGCATTAGCTTCAAGTATAGATGCAAGAAGAAGATGCTGTTCATACCTAACAGCCCATGTGAGGTCTTAAGCTCCTGTATTTTCACTTGAGGACGTTTACTCCATAAACAATCCCCATTCATTTGCACGTCCTGTAGAAACGTAAGGGCTTTCAGCGGGGAGTCAGCCAGTCAGTGTATTTGAAGTAGGAGGATTAACATTCTGCACTATTTACTGCAGTTAGATTAATTCTTGCCTGGGACCTTTTCCCCCTCTTCAACACGGGCCCATATGGAGACCGCTCTCTTTGATATGCCAGTCCAAATCCAGAGTTAAGCCCGTTTAAAGCAATGATTTCAAACAAACCTTTCATCAGTTCTTCCCCCAGATCACATTTAAGGAAATAATAAAATTACAGTTTATTAAGCCTGAAAAATATTCTTAATCTCTTTTTTGGTTTTACACTCGTAATGAGCCTTAGCTTTGCCTTTCACATGCACTAAATAATTTGGGAAAATAGCTAGGCCACTGAAATTGCCGACCCCGGCTCCTTAATGATTAGGAGTGTGTTTGTATAGCTGGAACAATACTACTCATATAGTTCCTTCCTTACAAAAAAACCCCCATGCAACATTTTAGCTTGAAATCATGGCACAAAAGGGCAATGTGATCTGAATCCAATGCCCAACTCCAAATGTGATGGAAAGCCTACAGGCTCCTCTATTTTCAATACTTGGGGTTTTGCCCACTGACGAGGTTTGTGGAAGTAACAAAAAGTTTACATCATACGTGACTATTGAGTAAAGACTAGCCAATAAAGAAACGCTCTATGGTGATGCGTTCAGGAAAAGAAATCCATGTAAAATAGTTTGTTTTCTAAACCGGCTAAGTTTTTTCTAGATGCCCTTTTGAAAAACAAATACAAATGTACTGCAGCGTGTGCAATAATCTTACGATAATTTTAAATACCGTTTGGGGGGGTTTTATAGAATTTGACTTTTTTTAAACAAAATGTACAAAATCCACAGGAATTCTGTAGAATGGTTATGTTGATAGAACTTTTTATATTTTTGTAGAAATCTATAGAGAAATTGTTAAAAGCCTCCGTAGCATCTTGGGAACAGAAGCAGCTCTTATCTACAAGTTTCTTTTCATAAACCTGGAGCCAGACCTACTGTATTACAACACGTAGAGCCTAGTTTCAGAGCCTGCATCCAGGTCGCGTTTAGAAGTAAGCAGCTAAGCTCAAGTTCTACGATATTGCAGTGCTATTACTGTTCGAGAACTGTACCCATCTAAAACACCTACTCCCAAACCTCAGCCCCTGTTGATGGTAAAATAGTCGCATGGCTATCCAGTTCATTCAAGCACACCAGCACTTTACTACTGTGGATTTACTGTATACAGGTGGGAGGAGGATATTCTGCTAGTGCCAGTCTGACACATGGGGAAAGAGAGATTGCAGATGTGTCTGGAAAAATGTAAATTCCATTCTTGCAGCCCCTCGCACATAGAACTGATTTTCCATAGCTCGGTTACAGGCCGTTTATACTGTAGATATTTTGGAGGAGGGCAAAGAAAACACTGTTTTTGACTTCTGTGGATTGCACTCAGCACAAGGTGTGTTCAAGGTTAAAAAAAAAAATAAAAGAAAACAAAAGCGTTACCATTGTAAATTAGGCTATGCCCCAGTCTCCCCTTTTCTGCCCCTTTGGCTATAATAACCCACGTAGACTATTACACAAGGTGACTAGAGTAGGCACAGTACCATTGCAATGTCCGTAACAACCTAGTATATATTATAGAACTTTGTATTTAATAGTTAATATATTGTTATACTGTATCAGGTATATGGGCCAAAACAAGGTCTTTTGGTCAGGGCAACAAAAGGTGGTATTCATGGGGAAAATTGGGTTAAAATGTTCCTTTTTAAAAAAAGAAAAAAGACAAAAAATGAGTGTAAATCTTTACAAATGACAAAAACAAATGTGTCCTATTAAAAGCTTTTGAAAAGAAAACAACTGCGCACTTCCCTTTTTTGTTGTTGCTGATGATAATCTGTATCATTCAGAGCGGTCAAATCTTTGGTCATGTTTTAATTACGAACAGTTGGAGGAGGTATTGTATCGCAGCAGCGGCCGGGAAGTCGAAGGGCAGATTGCGACACGTCGGCCCCGCGTGAAGCAATTCGGTTTGACGCTGTGAGCGGATCTGGCCCCACGCATCGCCCAGGGCATGCTGTTTTACCGAGGAGACCCTCGGTTGTGCTTCTGCAATCGCACCATGCTGGCAAAGGACAGCTTGGCAAGTCGCTTACTGATGCGAAGGCTGCTGGGACTGCAACGGAGAGTGAGCTGCAGCCAAAGGGGGAGGAAGGAGTCAGGAGACGGGGCAGATTCGATCTGTCTGTGAAAACACGTTGCTGTGAAGAGGAAGATGCTGGGCTTTTCCACGTGATCATGACTTCAGGATTTCTAGCCTGAAGTACAGCAGCCTCGTCTCCATCCTGTCTGCAGTCATTTAGGTCTTTGCAAAGCAGGGGTTGGTGGGGATGGTTCCACCCTGGGAGCTGTGGACTGAGTGTTGCAGGGCAGCTGGGGCTCAGACTCCAGATGCTGCTTAGGTACCACCAGAAGCATTTGAACCTAAACTCTTCAAGGGTCTTTAGTGAACGAGTTATTTAGCTCCTAACATGAAGTCTCCTCTCCTCTGGGGAGCAGCCACTAGAGGGAGGAACCAGGCACGTAGGCATCCTGCAGCCCTTTATCTCACTTTGACTTGGATGGCTTGATGATGGCTCTGTAGCAGGAGGGACCCTAAATTGACACCCAGAGTGGTTATGTTATCTAGCGGGTGTTTTGATAAAGGCCCTCTCATATTCATCTCCAAGTAGCAAGCAGCAAGAAGGAAGTTTGATCTTAAACAGAGAGAAAATGTGGGTCTGTGCAAAATCCCCTGCAAATCCGAACAGAGCAGGACTCCAGAGGCAAGCTCTGTAATGCATCTGCATTGTCCAGGCTACAGGGCCAACCCCCCTGGGCTGGAACCACTGAAGCTCCTATCCACCCCTCCAAGGCTGCAGGATCCGCATGGCCTTAAGGTAAGCCAAGATGGGCCAGGAAAGCAGTTCACAGGTTCAAGCACTTCACACCTCTCTGCACACAGGTGAGTTTAGCCCTGTGGTGATTCCTTAGTGGGAATGGCAAATCCCTCTATTTCTAATGCTGGGTTTCAGAGGGATTTGGGAGGGGTGTTGTTTTTGTGTTATTTTTCTTTCTTTTTTTTTTTGCTGCTCTGTTTTGTGAGTGTTCCTGTATGAAGCTCTTTTGCTGAGTTTTAGTTGTTTTGTGTTATTTTTCCTTTTTTTTTTGCTGTGAGGTGAGTATTCCTGTATGAAGCTCTTTTGCTGAGTTTTAGTTGCAGTTTTTAGAAGGCTCCCACCCAGGCTGGCTGCTTTCTCGCAGCTTGCCAGAGCTTGGGCATGGCACTTCGTTGTTCTGCTTGGTAAGGAACTGGGATGCTGTGTGAAACTGGGCTGTTTCCTATGTAATGGTGGCTGCATCTAGGGAAGTAGCACTTCAAATTTAATTTGCTTCTGGCTTAGTTGAGACAGTTAGGTGAACCTAGCTAACTGTCCTGCTTCTGGAGAGCAGTGTCCCATCGGAAAAGCCGTGTGTGCAGCACATCCCTTGGCTGGAGCTCTGTAAAACCCTGTGATCAGCTTCATGAGGAATAGGAAAGGCCTATTTGTGCCTTCTGTATTTCAGGTGTTCCGGAGAGACAAAGCGAGGCACACCAACAAGTCTAAGGTGTGACCTGTACTAGAATCCCCCCCAAAAATAAGGTAGGAAAAAAGCAATTTGAAGAAATGTGCCTGGCTCCCTTCATTGCCCCCAGCACTGTGTAAAGGACCAGCTGTGATCAGTTCCTAGTGGGTCAGGATCCCGCAGGTTAAAGGGTTAAGGCCAGCCAAGTTTTGGAGGGATACAGGCCTGGACTGAATTGCCCGGAGGCGGCCAAGGGCCATCACCCCCTCGGTGTGGGCAGCCCACAGCCGGCAGCCGTTCCGGGCGCAGGGGTTTGCTACCATCTAGTGGGCTTGGGGCAAGGAGCGGCCGGGGGGGAGCTGCCCTGGGCACCGGGGGAGGGTGTAAGAGGGACCCTGGGGTGCAGGTCTGCCCAGCCCGAAGAGCTTTGTGTCCCATCTCCGTGTTGCAGAAGCAGCGCAGGATTGGGAGGGGAAAAAAAAAAAAGAAAATCCAAGGAGGGTTTGTACTTCTGCGGGGATTTTCAGCCACTGAATTTATAAAAATCGCTTCCTACGGTAGGAGGAGAGGAGGGATTTCTCCCAGATTCAGAAGCGCCGTGCCAGCCAGTGGAGCCACGCAGCAGACACGCGTTGCTCCGTGCTGGCAGGAGCTGCTGGAAGCCAGGCTGCTGAGCACGTCAGCTGGCATCTCCCCTTCCCGGCAGCATGCAAAGTCCTGGGAGACAACAGCCCATCAGGGACAGTCCTAGGGCTGTCCAGCATCTCCAGCTCCCCAGAGGCTTGTTTGCCCCCACGCATGCTTATGCCTTCCTTTAAGCACGTGTAAAACAGACAGCGCAGCACCGAGTCCTCCCCGCGCGTGCTAATCCATGACGGTCTTGTACGGGCTGTGCACTTGCACGCAGCAGCCACGACACATCCACAGCTTGTGGGCTTGACCGGGGCGTTTAACCTCTGCGTAGGAGGAGGATAACCAGGCAGGCCTTGTGCCATCTTGCGTGGCTTGTGCTGAGGTGCTCAGCACTCGGGTGTTCGCTCGGGCGCAGGCTGAGCGCTTGTCACTAGATGGCAATGCCACGAAGTGGTTTAGCGGGGACATTTGTGTACTTCATTTCAGGCTGCACAGGAGGTCCCCTATAACCTCCTGTTTCTGTTTGGTTTGGCGTGGTCATCAGCAATAAGCCGTTGCCTCGCTGGCATTTTTGCATTTGAGGTTTAAGGTGGCTTTTACGTGTTGTATTCAATGCTTCGGGTATGTTTACAACACACTGTATAATCCTGCAACATCCTCTGGCATTTTCTGTTATTGCTTGAGTCGCTGGATGCTATAATTGGCAAGCTTTCAAAGGTCCTGAATAGATTATCTTTCCATATCAATTTAATACTCTAAATAATGCAACCAAAGACCCCTGCAGCTCCAGCTGAGAAATGAAAAGGATGGTTAAACCACTTAATTACTCACTGCGCTAACAATTATTTTACGGAAACAGAAAGCAGAATCCAGCTGTTCCAGGGGAAATCAGGAAGAAGTTAATATTGGAGTCATTCTACAGGGGGAAAAAATACTGCAGTGGACAGCACGTGCTGTGCCAACACCTGCGACGGCAGCGCAGAGCCGCTCTGCCGGGCGCCACCAGCTCTGCATGGCCAAAGGCTGGTGACAGCTCCATGGTCATTCAAACAAGGCAGGAAAGGCACCAGTGTTTGCACTGCTGCAACCACTGTGAATTCTGCGTGCCCGTTCTGTGGTGAAATCCTGAACAGCTTCAGCTCATTAAAACTAGGAGGGGTTTGTGGGGTGGCTGAGTTGGTGGAGGGGAGGATAAGCTGGTGGCAATTGTGTCAGGGGCTGAATTCAGCTAGTTCGGGTCTTTGCTCCAGAAGGCCCAAGTGCCACATGCTGCTTGTCTGTGGCTGTTTGTCCATCACCCTAAGCTCCTTCTGCAGCGAAACCACCCACAAGCTGGGACGTGTTACACCTGCCATGGCTTCCATCAACCTCTGCAGGCACTTTAGAGCATGTCTGTGGCATTATCCAGCAGGCGAGAGATACCCAGTGCATTCGGAGTTTGGCTGCTCCCTGCTGCAGCGGCTCCAGCATCACTTTGGGGTGATCTAGGAAGTTCTCAGCATGTCTAGATTCTTCTCCTGCTCATTGGTCTCAGTATGAAATGTAGGAGCACTTGTGTAAGAGGGGAAGATGGTACTACACATGGTGTCCTGGAGGAGTCATACGCACACTATTTTCTCCTTTTACAGAGCCTTGATGCACTGGGTGGACCCTACCTCACCCCACAGCTAACAGAATGACTTTATGGTGCAGCTTCAGGCCAAATGCACTGTGCTCCCAAGCTCCCTGTGCAGGCTTTCCAGGGAACTGCCGCCTCTGGTCTTCCAGCCAGGGGAATCTTGCCTTCTACTCCCTGCCCACAAAGCCTGCTGATATAAGCCCAAAAGCAGAGCTGTGCATAAAAACTGGAGGTGCAAATTCCCAGCCTGCTCTCTCATCTGTTTTACCATGGGACTTCTAAACTGCTCCTTGCGCTTTCCAGAAATGAGGAAATGAAAGTTAAATCCTTTCCTGCAAGAAGAGAGATGCACACTATACGCAACACCATTGACCGTTGGAGAAGCAGCAACCTGAAGTCTGCAGCTTACTCATGCAGTGTTGGCTTTGAGCAGTTTGTTACAGTCCACATCTCACATGTGTTAAAACAAGGTTTCATCCCCTTTCTTATAAAGTGGATGTGTAGGGCCTTGCTGTAAACGCTAATTTGGCAGCCTCTTTTTCTTGCCATCTGTAAAATGTGACACCTCTGTGGGTCTCAGAAAGGAAGCTGAGCCTCTGCTGTTCCAAGCAGAGAAAAAAGGTGGTATTTATAGTCAACTAACCATAAAACTGTGACTTCCAGAGCTGCACATGCTCAAGCCCTCCCCAACCCTCAACTCTAAATGTCCTCCTTTATATGGATTTCTTCAGGAGTCGGTCACACTTCATTTTGCTTTCAGTGCTTTGCAAATCAGCATGAGGTGCGGTATGAAAAGCAGCCCGCCTCGTACCCGGTGCTGTGCTTACACAAACAGCTTCTCTTGAGCGTTACCTCCTGTCCTGCCCCTGCCAACCGCTCTGCGTGGCCCTGGGCACGCCTCGTAGGAGATTCGTGATTGCACTGCCTTGACCTGCTCTGTGTGTTAGCAGATGAAAAGTCCTTTACTATGCAGCTGGCATGGAAAAGAGGATGCAAATACATTACTGAATGAACCCACATCCGATCTTGCCACTCCCCTGGAATAAATGTCCGGTGAGAAAAGGTGAATTCATGACCTCCCCAACATTCTCACCAAAGGTGCTGTTTCATTTTCCTGCACAGCCAGCCTGCATTTGGGGGAACATCACAGGAGTAATGACATGGTTTAGGTACATCCATCTTCCTTCCCATCATCAAAAGGAAGCAGGACCAAAGTGAGTGCCTGAGATAGTGCTTCAGGCTTTGCTTTGTACCAGGTTCAGCAACTTTCCTGTGGCCCTTCCCAGGAGCTTTTAAGCTTCCCCCACCCCATCTTGTCAGTTTGAGACTTT